GCATTGCCCTATCTGGTTTGGCTCAGTGGATAGAGCGTCGGCCTGTGGACTGAAGGGTCCCGGGTTCAGTTCCGGTCAAGGGCATATATGTTGGTTGTCGGAAGGCAACCAATCGATGTGAAATTCTCACGTCGATGTTTCTCTCTCTGTCTCTCCCCCTCCCTTCCACTCTCTTTAAAAATCAATGGGAAAATATCCTCAGATGAGGATTAACAACAACAACAAAAAGAGCAGGCAATAAAAGGAGAATATCTCACTGTCCATGCTCACCTCCTTCCTCCCCAGGTGCCTTCAGAGAACTTTCCAATGCAAACTTTCTATTAGTTTTCCCCTCTGGAGGTGGTCTGCCAATATTCCATTGCCTCCCTCCTCAAATGCAACCTTTCTCTCTTGGTTCCATTGTTCTGAGGCTCCCTGGCTGGGGTGGGCTTCCGTGCCTGGGCGACACACTGAATTCTAGTCACTTTTCTGCAGGAGAGAATCCTAGAGTTCCAAGACAGGTAGAAAGAGCATCTTAAATAAAATAATAATGTCTGCCTCACACTAGTAAACTATTTTTCACTTTAAGATTTCATGTCATTGTAATTTGTTCCGGTGGACAAGAAGAGCTTTCGTTTGAGAAAGAACTGACAAGATGTCTTAGGACTCAGCTCCGATTGCTCTGCCTGTCTCCCCATCATTGGAGCTTTGTTTGCTGCCTTCGCAGGACTCAGTGAAGGGAAGGCTTTGCAGGCTACTGTTAGATGTTCTGTGAATCCATAAATCACAGACTGATGGGAGGAAGGGCCTTCCAGAGACCATCTAGAGCTGCCTTCTGTCTCTAGCACAGACATGTGCATACACAAACGACAACTGCCTGTTGTGTAGTTCTAGAACCCAGTGGGAGCAGAGGTATGATTTCTCTTGGTATTTAGTCTCAGGTCTCTTGATTCTTACAGTCATATTCTTGATTCTGTCCCAAATTTCGCGCCACAGCTCAGGCCGCCCTGGGCCCAGTCTGTTGCTTCACTGTCCTGGCCCGTGGTTTGGAGACACCACCACTGTGCTAGTGACGTCTGTGTCCTGGCCGTGACCAGTCACTTCCCCTGTGTGGGTCTCACACAGTCCTGTGCAGTGTGGCTCTGGGACTAGATGATGTCTCTGGCACTCTCCTTCTCTTTGACTCTGAGATTCTGGTTCTTGCTTCTACGTACGTTGTTTCCCTTGCTGATGGGCTTTCTCTCTCATCAAAACCCGGTTCCATCCCATCCACCCCATGGCCAGCCACCAAGCACTCGCTTCTGAGTTAGGAGTAGCACCTTATCATTTATTCCTTATGTTTTTCACTTTAACAACCTTTAGTTTTCACCTTACAAACATTTCTAGATATTAACCATGTAAAACCTAGGTCAGTAAGAAGAAAAAAATAACTTCTGACAAACATAACCACTGCCGGCATCTTTGGTATATTTCCTTCCAGTCTTTTTCTTTTTTTAATTTAATAAACTTATACATAGGCCAGTGAGTTTCATACTATATAGTTTAGTATCCTGCTTTTCCACTTAATATATAGTGAGCATTTTTACATCCCTAACATTTGGAAACATCATTTTTTAAGTTGATGAGAGAGAGAGAGAAAGAGAGAGAGAGAGAGAGAAACATCAATCGGTTGCCTCCCGTATGCACCTCAACCAAGGATCGAACCCACAACTTGGGAATGTGCCCTGACTGGAAATCAAACCCACTGCCTTTTGGTGCATGGGACGACACTCCAACCAACTGAGCCACGCCGGCCAGAAGTGGAAACATAAATTTTAATATCTGTTTAACACTTTACATCTCATACTTTATTTAGTCATTGCATGGTTATTTCTGAATGAGAGCAATACCTATCCTGTCAAGCCCACTGAACTATCCAGATAAAAAAAGATAAGCTTTTCTATGTGCCGCCCTCTTCTTGTGCCCCTCACAGTCCGCCTTGGCCATCAGGACACTTGGGGACCCACGAAGCTCCCTTGAGATACAGGCTTACTCTTTTCTGAGCACCTCTGTTGCTCATAAGACCCTTCCCCCTGACCTGTTACTTATCCGGTGCCATGTATGGTTCACCTTGAGTCTCCCAGCCATATATTAAGCTCCAGAGCCAATTTTCTTGTGTGTTATTATATTCATTCAGCAAATATTTAGTGAACACCAGTCATATGCCTGCGATGTCCCTGAGTGAGTTGCAGGGCTTGTGGCAATGAATAAGGGTAAGGGGACGGACCAAACAGTCGCAAGCATAAATGCTTGCTGCAGGCTGCCAAGGGACTGGGTATCAGGAATGTGGGGCAGGAGTAGGTCCTGACTTGGGCTTGGCTGGGGAGGAGTCTTCCTGCAGAGGTGCCCTTTCAGCTGGGGTCTGGAGGAAGACCAGCAGTTGGCAGGGAAGTAGAGGGTGGGAGTCGCAAGAGCACTCCCCACATAGCTGCCGTCCAAACTGCGGCCAAGCACAGACAGGACATCTGGTGAGCGCTGCTTTGGGTGCGTGAGAAAGAGAAATGAGGACTTCTTGGCTGGGGGTCTTTCCTGTTCCCTGCTCATCCAGTGCCTGGGCTGAGCCACTCATGACTCAAAGTAGAAGACCCAAGGTTTGCGGGTCTGTGTGTACTCTGTGTGTGTGCGCGTGCGCATGCGATTGAGAGACACTCTGATGGCCTTCTGAATCCAGTCCCCAGTGGCAGGGATCCCTGGTGCCATCATTCCCCTTCACTGACGTGGATGGCTATGAGAGCGGCCCATGTTCCAAACATCTCGGCATCCCTGCAGTGACAGCTTCTTTGAGAATATGTAGATACCCGTGATTTTCTTAATTGCTCCTGTACACCCAGAGCTCTCTCACTCCCTTAAGCAGAGGGGATATTGAGGATAGGGTACTGTCTTTCCCCCTCCAGACCTCTGCTCCTTTTTCCCTGCTGTCATTTATGTTTAACACCCTCCTGCTGCTCTTCCACCCACCACCGCCCTTCCCTCCGCTCACACTGACTTACTCAAGGGGCTCCGCATAAGAGAGACTGAGGGAGGAGACCAGACTTTCTCAAGCACTCATACCCAGCAATTAGTTTCTGTATTGGCAATTCAAGATAAATAGAAAATAACAGAGGAATGGAACCAGGACCAAAGCCCATGCAAAGTGCTTGGCATGCATTATCATGACATTTACATGTGTGTCACATGGGCCAGGCACGGGTTGGGGGAGGGGGGGTCGGGTCCGGTGGCCCAGGAGTTGAAAGAGCTGGATTCCAGCCCTGCTGGCTGTGCCGCCCTGAGCGTTTTCTGTTTGCGGGCCTCAGTTTCATCAACAGTGAAATGGAGCGGTACTAGGTTATTCTGCCATTTGATAGAGAGCACAGGTCGTAGATGTGTCACGTCTGTCCTCCTGGTCTGTGCAGCAAGCACAGCAGAAGTTACTGTCCTGATGTGCCTAGAAGAGATGGAGCTGAGAACATAGAGGATGCAGGTAGAAATGTCCAGAAGGAGGGGGCCGAGGCAGGAAGGGAGGCCAGAGGTAGAAGGAAAACAAAAGAAAGCCTGGAAGTGAGGTGACAAAAAATAAACACATATGCTAGATCAGTGGTTCTCAAGCGTGGCCCGTGGACCAGCAGTGTCACATGGGAACTTGTCAGAAAAACAAACTCTTTTTTAAACTCAGGAATGAGGCCCTTTTTACAAGCCCTCCAGGTGGTTCTGGTGGGCGCTGAAGTTTGAGGACCTATAGGATGGATGGAAGGAGGGGTGGACAGAAGAGGCCAGGAGAACCAGATGGGTATGTTAAAGGCTGACCAACCAGTGTTTGTTGGTCACTGGCATTTCATTTAAACCTTTCAGGATTGTGGTAAAGCAGGCCTGTTATTCCCACTTCAAAGATGAAGCAACTGAGGCTCAGAGATGTTTAGTCACTGGCCAAAGTCAAAGAGATAGTGACAGAGATAGAATTCTTCCCACTATACCAAGCTGCTCCCCACCCGTCTGTCCCTTAGCTCCCTGCCCTGGTTCCCTCCTCGGTCCCACAGTCACCCCAGAGCTCTGCTCTGCTCTCCTGCTCTGCAGCTGCCATGCAAAGGCAAAAAGGTGGCACCATAGAAGCAAATAAAGGAGACCCTGGGGAAGTGGGCTGGGCCCACTGTCACCTTGCAGTCCTCCAGCTCAGTGCCAAATGCAGCCAGGGGGCCAAATTCCAGTGTAACGCTTCCAAGAAGCTGACATAGTTGTCTTAATGTAGTAACAACTCACACACTCAGTGACAACGTTGACAGATACTCATTGCTGCCTATGTGTGCCAAACCCTGTGCCGGGTGCTGTGGGAGAAACTGAGGCAAGGTCCATGTAGTTTCTGACTTCAAGGAGTTTATAGTTCAGAGCCAGGAAAACGACAAATAACAGTGACCAGCTGGGGTACCAGGGAGCCTGGGACAGCCAGGGTAGGTCCAGCCAAGTGTTGGAGGAGTTCGAAGAGACTCATGTAGGGACAGCACCAAGGCTTTGGGGACCGTCTTAACGCTTTGGAGCCAGAGGCATGAGTTCAATTCCCAGCACTGATTCACTGTGTAACGCTGGGCAAGTCACCTCATGTATGACCTGTCTCCTTTTCTACAAAATGGATTTCGCTATCCTTTGCTCGGGGATTATTCTATTTGATTATAACAGGCATCATTCAGTGAGTTGTTTCCTTCCTTCAGAGGATCGCCTGAGGCCAGAGCAAAGCAGAGGCGCCTTCCTGGACAAGGCGGGCCTCTGCGTTGGCTCCGGCTGTCTTCCCTAGGAAATCTGTGCCCAGGTTCTGGACATGTGGGGTTGTCCGAGGACAATGGCCTCTGGGCAGCTGTCACTAAGGATAAACTTATAGTGAGAGGAAGTCCTTTTCCTCAATTTGGAAGATTATTTTTGATGTGATTTCAAACCCTGTTGCAAAGGGCAAAGCTGGGAGGCCAGTCCGCACTCCTGGGAGTCGCCATGCTCACGTGGCCCACCTTTTCTTACAGATGATGCAGTTCGCCTGGCAGAGCTACAAGCGTTACGCGATGGGGAAAAACGAGCTCCAGCCCCTCACAAAGGACGGCTACCAGGGCAACATGTTCGGTGAGTGGCCGTCGGGGAGGCCACTGCCCCCCTGGTGGCTGAGCTGAACTTATTGTTGTTGCTTTTTACCTCCTGAGCTGGGTCCCCATTTCTCCAAGTCTGGGTTCTTCTGGACTGTTCAGGTTTCTGAGCCTTCTAGATCAGGGGCAACCCTTACTCTCCTCGCACACTTCTTTGTATGCCCTGATCACTTATTTCTTAGATCAAACAACCTTGGAAATGTAAGTGGGGACCGTGAGTGATGGAGACTCGTTTAACCCACCCTTCCAAGGATAGCTGTAAAACGACATTGGGTGTTTAAACAGAGAAACTGAACACATTTCCAATGAGATGGCCGCATACGCTGCCTTTAGGGTCCAGGGGGGTGTCTCTCGCTCGCTGACTCGGTGAAAGTGTGAGGTAGTAGCACAGGTACTGCTGTGTGTCAGTGACTTGTCTTTGGCCTGTGATCCTCCTAACCCAGCACCTCAAAAGCCCCCCTCAGCCAAAGAGACTGTAAGGTGGCTTATTGTGGGCAGGGCCTTGGGTTTCAAATTTAGCACCCATCCAAGTTGCCAGCTCCCCTCTACGCAGGTCTCTTATGTGAAAAGATGCTGGAGGCAGCCTGACTCCCTTCTCCCCTGAGAGGCAGGAGCTAGCTGGGGCTGGAGACGGGAAAATTCAGTACCTGTATTCCTCACCCCTTAGAGACATAGGCTCCTGAAATCGAGACCCAAAGAACCAAGTCAGATCACAAGTCCCAGGAAAATCTCAAAAGCAGGTTTACAAGGGGCAGCCCCCCAATGTATGGCCCTGGCAGAAGGACTTGTGTTGTGGGAAAAGGGACCTCCCTGCCTTCCTCCCAGCGATTCTCAACCTGTGGGTCGCGACCCCTTTGGCGGCCCAACGACCCTTTCACAGGGGTCGCCTAAGACCATCCTGCATATCAGATAATCACATTATGATTCATAACAGTAGCAACATTACAGTTATGAAGTAGCAACGAAAATAATTTTATGGTTGGGTCACAACATGAGGAACTGTATTTAAAGGGCCAGAAGGTTGAGAACCACTGCTTAACCATCCAGCTTCACAACTGTTTGGCTGTTCAGACAGTTCACTCCCCTTGTGAGGAGGGGGGTGTATTTGAGTAGCTCCCCCACTCCCCAATTATTATAGGACTGTAGGGAATTGAGAATGGATCAAAAAAATGTAAAGCAGGCCAAAAAAAATCTCTTTCTACCACACAGATGCAGCCTCTATTGATATCTTGGCTCGTGTCCGTCCAATCTTTTCTTCTGTGTGCTTTTCTCCCCTTCTGTATACAATTTTATGTCCTTTTTGCTTTCTTGACTTAACGTTATATCATAAGTGTTTCCCTAACTCATTTAAATTTTTTCATAAAGAATGCTTTTAGTGGTTGCAATTATTGCCAGAATGTGCCATAATTCATTTATCCATCCACTAATGTTGGACAAAGGTTGTTTCCAATTTTTCGCTCTTAAAAATAATGCAGCAATTATCATCTTTGTGCATAAAATGTTGTCTTAGGATAAATGCCTAGAGAAGACTCCTGAGTGAGAGGGGAGGATGACAGATGTTTCTTTCCTCTCAAATAGGCAATGTGTGGATTCCGGGTTAGGTGCACAGCTGCCTTGCCTGCCTAGAACACAGACTTTCCCCACAGCCCACATCCACGCTGGGAAAGATGGCTGGTGTGGATCTCGGCTGTTGGAGCTTTGGCTTCTAGTGTAAGTCAGGGATGTGATCCAGGAGGCTTCTTCTCTCTTTCTTCCTAACCATCTGCAGATAGTCAGGGAATTGGTGGAGGGTGGGGCAAGGCTGTTGATTTCTGACCCTGCACAGCATGGGTGTAGCTATTAATCAGACTGTCAACCGGAGTAGAGGGAGCGCCATGGGGAGCACTCTGGGAGGGATTAGGCTAAACCAAGTCCCATTTTGCAAAATTCCTCAAGGCCCCAGATGTAAACCTCAACCCTCCTGCCCCTTTCCAATCAGTGAGCATGGTGGGGAGTGGGAGCCTGGAATGGTGGAAAGACACTGGACCTTGAGTCAGAAGACCTGAGTACCAGTCCTCACTCTGCCTGAACTATCGGTGTGACTAAATTCAGGTCACAACCTCTCTGGGCCCCTGTTCGTTCCCTTCACACTGGGGCTCCTATGAGAGTGTGCCTGAACCTGCAAGTATTTGTAAGTGATTTACAATTTCCGTTACAAGGAATGTGTTTAGCAGTTGCCCATGTGAGGCCATAGAGCAGTGATTCTCAACCTTTTGGCCCTTTAAAACAGTTCCTCATGTTGTGACCCAACCATAAAATTATTTTCGTTGCTACTTCATAACTGTAATGTTGCTACTGTTATGAATCGTAATGGAAATATCTGATACGCAGGATGGTCTTAGGCGACCCCTGTGAAAGGGTCGTTTGACTGCCAAAGGGGTCGCGACCCACAGGTTGAGAACCGCTGCCATAGAGCGTTCTGAGGTCCCATGGGTTATCTGTCTCCCAAGTGTGGCTTTGGCAGAGCCCTGGGTGCCCCAATACCCAGTGCCTACAGCAGTCCTGGCAGTGAGCAGAGCCTTCCTTCTGCAGTAGAAAACGAGCCACAGTGGGTCCGGCCCCTGGGAAAGGAGGGCGTGTAAGGACCCAGGTACCAGCCGGGAGAGCTGGGCTTGATTTACTCCGTTTTTCACTCAACAGATGCTTATTGGGTGCCGTGCCCGATGCTGATTACTAGGGAGATGGGGTAAATGGCACAGCAGAAACTCCACCAGTTCTGCCAGGACACACACTGGCACCCCCCTGGGTCCCTGGGGTCTGTCCAGGTGCTCTCAGAGCGAGGGACAAGCAGAAGGTGAGCACAGGTGAGCACGTGAGCAGCCCTTCACTGGCTTTACTGGTGGATTCTGTGCCTCAAACCAAACAGACCAGGGTTCCAATTCAGACTTCACAACTTCCTGGTGTGTGACCTTGGGCAAGCCATTTCTGTCTGAGCCTGAGTTTTTCTGTAAAGTAGAGCTAATAAAGACATCAACCCCCAGCCCAGGCTTGCCTGACACACAGCACCTGCTTAACCGGTAGGGTTATGATTACTGTTACCACAAATAGGTCTTGTGATGCAGAGAAGAGGGCTTAGGGGCAATCTAGGAGCCTGGGAGAGGCAAGTTTGGGGTAGACCCATGTGGGGCTTTGAAGCCAGGTGATTCCCAAAGATTAAAGGAGATGAGCTGGCCTGAATTACACTCTTGTCTTATCCCACTTCTTTTTCTGGACTCATGTGGGTGGCTAGGCAACAGCATTCCTGGACCCTGGCTGCAGCCGTCATCAGTGACCCCCAATAAACTGGGCCCTCTGGGGCCGTGATCAGTGACCTCCAATGAACTGGGCCCTCTGGGGCCGTGATCAGTGACCCCCAATAAACTGGGTCCTCTGGGGCCGTCATCAGTGACCTCCCAATGAACTGGGCCCTCTGGGGAGCAATCAGTTGGCAGCAGTGCCCACCCTGCCCACTTGGCTGAGTCGATGTGCAGGGGACCCTGGGCTGCCCCTGGTGCTGTTTGGACACGGGCTCTTGCAGCCTCCTCTCCAGGCCTGCGGGGCCAGGAGGGCTGCATATGGGAAAGGGTAATGAGTTCACACCAGTGCCTGGCTTTGCAGGATTTACAGGAGCTGCAGCAAAGACATCAGATGGCAGCCTGGTCTTCCTGTGTGGCATTGCACCAAATTGAATCCCCCTCCCAACCGATCATGTGCCCTTCCCAGAATATGTTCTTACTTTGTGACAAGACCACTAGGTCAGGTGTCTCTCAAGCCAGTTCTTGTGTCCTAAGCAATTCAGTGTCAAAACGGCTTCCTTTTTACCAGCCTCCTGCTGAGCAGGCCCTGTCAGGAAGTGTTCCCGAGACTCCAGAGGCTGTGAGCAAAGAGGACACAGCATGCTGCTCACCTGGGCTCTGGCCGCTTTCCCTTTCCTCTGAGGGGTGGCCAGATGGGACAGTAAGTGTCCAGAGGAGGTGGAGGAGGCGGAAATAGCCTGGACTGAGGACCCAGTGGGCCTGAGTGGAAGCTCTGAGTTGCCATTTAGCAGCTGAGTGGCCTCTGACTGCAGAGCGGGACAGAGGCCACTGCCTCCTGGGCTTGTGGTGACAATTAGAAGACGTGTGCAGGGCCCACTCCCATGCCAGGCACAGAGCTGGCACTTGATGGCAGTGCCCTTATTACCATTAAGTCACAGAGGGGAGCCTGCCACTTGCAGAATGGAATCCAGCAGTGGAGAGTAGAGGCACCAGCCATAAGCAGCAGAGGCCCACCTTCCTCGCCTATAGGAAGGGCTGCTGCTGGGATGTGGGGGAATTTCAAATAAGCTAAGTGAAGAGCATGGACTGTTGGGGCCAGGCAGCTTGGATTTGCATGCTGTTGTGCCACTTACTAGCTGTGTGATCTTGGGCAAGTTGCTTAACCTTTCTGGGCCTTGGCATCCCAGCTATAAAGCAGGGACAACAGTACCTACTCACAAGAACTAAATGAGTAAATACATGAGAAGTGCTCATATTCATGTCTGGCACAGAGGCAGCAGCATTCTTCAAAGGCAGCTGCTCTGAGGAGGATGTAAGGCTCTTGGGACAGTGTGCTTCCCCTGCTTTGACCAAGGTGTGCCCAAGCCCTCTGGACCCAGGGACCACATGAGGACTCCAGGATTTTGCCAGCCTGATCCCTCTTTCCATTCCCCCAGCTCTTGAGCGTCCATGGCAGAGATTGTGTATGGGCAGCCCACTGGTAGGCATTGTTCCTCTCACCCCTTCATTTAAGCAGCTTACAATTGCATTTTTAACAGGAGAGAGGCAAAGGAAGATTAGGGTTCAAGGCCGTGAGATAAATCAGCCTCCTGCTAGCATTAGGGTTTCTGGGTGAGGAGTTAGTGACACCTCACACTGGGTGCCAGCTGCCAGCCTTGAAGCACTTAATGAGCATTCATGCTCCCAAGAAGCCAGAGCAATCTGT